TTGATCCTAGGGATTTGTCCTTTGCTTAGGCGATATCCTGACATGCTCCTTCTGCTCCAGAACTGAGTCCTTTTCCTATTTCTTGTTGGAGACCAGTGATTTCATACTTGCCAGCCTCTCTTTTCCACTTCCACTGTTGCTCTCAGATGAGTCTGACTGTCTTTCCAATGGTTACTTGCCACTGGGAACCTGGCTGATTCTACAGTCCAAGGGCACAGTTTGCAATAACACAGTAGTCTATAGGTTTTGTGACTCTCTATTAATTCAGGAATATTGTTATTAAGTGTTCTTGCAAATATAGTTTATGTGGTTTGGGTTTAGTCTTTCCTGTTTTTATAGGGGATTTTAAGCTATATCCAGTAAGTTACACCACATGTACCATCAGTGTCCAAGAACGTAAAACACTTCAAAAATGTAATACACATGTATTTGGAAAATGTGCATTAAAATATAATTCATATATTGAAGTATTTTATGAGCTTCCTAGATATTAGTTTCTAGATCAATTCTGATTTAAGTAAAATAAATACCATAATTTTAAGAATAAAATTAAGTAGCAATACTAGCATGAAATATGATTTTAAAATAGTGATGGTATTATACAAATAACTCAATTTGAAAATACTATAGTAGTTCAATTCTTCAAATAGTAAGGAACAGGTATCTTTTTTTTTTAATTATAGGGTCAGAGTACTATATTCAGTCTTCCTCCATATGATAGCTGTACCAGTTGTTGTATCCATAGATATAACAACAACAGATCAAGAATATTTGAGAATAAATTGTATCTGTACTAAACATATAAATGATTCTTTAATTACCACAAAGAAGTAACTATGTGGCATTTATGTTACGTTAGATGTTATAAGTAATCTAGAGATCATTGAAAACATATCAGTATGATATGGTCAGGTCACACACAGGTGTGCCTCTTTACCTTAGGGACTTCAGCATCCATAGATTTTTTTGGGTACTTACCACAGATCCGGAAACCAACTCCCTGCAGATACAAGGGATAATTGCATTTGAAAGAGCCATAGAGAGCAAGGAAGACATGATCCTACCTTCTGAGCTTGATTAATAAACATAACAATAAGAAAAGATGCTATGAAGACTCAGTTTTAATTAAGGAAAGGAGAAGGAAAGAGTCCTTATAAACAGGATAGCTAACACTGGTGGCAGATGAAGCATAACAAATAGCTAGAGGCTAGAGACAGCAGTCCTTAACTAGTAAATATTCCATTTTAAAAAAACCAATGTACTATTGGTAGCATTGAAAATGGTCACAGCCAATTACCGATCAGCTATACTTCTAGAAATTTATTTTGGTATCCAAATGGTCAATAAAATAAAACTAAGACTGAAGAACATAATGATTCAGTAACCAAACAACACTGAATATATATGATGAAATAATAGAGAATATTTAAAATTTTCAACCACAGATAGTTTAAGAACATTGTAATGCCAAACATTTTTTAAGGAGAATTTATATAACATTAGTCAAAATCAGGATTGTAAGGTTTGAAGAAGCATATGTATATACTAAGTAAGCTGCATAGACCTCTTTAAATATATTTTAGGTTATTAGGATTACTTAGTTGTTTCTATTTATTAACTATCGTGATGTTTCCATAGTTTAGTCACAAATATGTGTGTATGTATGTATGTATGTATGTATGTATGCATGTATATACATGTATGTATATGCATATAAATTTACCAATTGGAAAAAATTATATTTATTTGTTTTATCATAGCTTTAAAATGACAGTGATTTATAACTCAGAGTTTCCTCATATATTTTTCTGTTTCATTCCTCTGTTGAAGGACTGTTTATAAGCTCGAAAGAGATCATCACATGTGAAGGCAGTAAAAGAAAATGCATTTACCAGGGAATAGGGAAGATTGAATGAGATAGCACAGAGGATGCATAGAGCAGTAAAACTGTGCTGTATGAAACTGTAGTTGTGGATATATATGTGGCTCTATACATTTGTCAGATGTACATTAACAGAGGTCCCCAGTGGGAACTATGGTTTTATAGTAATGATGTGTCATTGTGGGTTTATGAATTGAAACAAGGGCATTACTGAGGCATGAGGTGGTGATAGGAGGGAGGGTACATGTATATAGAAGTAGGCATGTGTGTACATTGGGGACTTTCTGTATTTTGTGCTTATTTTTGTTGTGAGCCTAACACTGCTCTAAAAAAACAATCTATTGAAATTATTTAAGCCAGGTTATAAGACTTTATATTCTACCTAATTTTAAAAAAATGTAACCAGAAGATCAGTGTGCCAGTTTGGAGCTAGAGGAGAATATGTTAAACCATGAGATGGACTCTTAGACAAGCCACTCTCTGATCTGTTCATGGCTCCATTTTGCTGTGTAAGGCACGAAGACTATAGTGGAGTTCAGCCCCTTTACTTCAGAGGCACACCCCGAGGATGGATGAATCTCCCTACTGAAGCTGCTTTTTGTCTCTTCAACAAAAGACACTTCATATGCCACTCAAAGGTCTGAATGTTTCCGCCTTTTGTTTTGTTACAGTTATGCAAGAGGACTGGAGATGCAGCCATACAATAGAAATCAAGATTAATCGGCATGGAAATACCATGCTTTCAAAATAGCTCCTCAGAAATCACCTCTGAGATCACCCTTGCATGGTTGGTGGTAAGTGCTGCCCTTTTCAGTGAATAACTGCAATGATCTTTAAATATTAATGAGGTAAAATGAATAGCAAGTAATAATAGAGAAATACTGGATGGGAAGTTGGCATTATGCCAGTTTTTGAGGGAGGGTTAGGAAAGGGAGGAGAGGATGTAAAGGGTTCTTCTAACTAGGCAAGGCTGCAGGCTCTGAATGCAACGGATTAATTTAGAAATGAGTTGTGAAAGGTTAATTTCTATTTCAAACTACATACTGAACCATGACTGCAGAGAGAAGAGTGTAGGATGGTGTGCTGGAGAGAAGCTGTCTCCAGCTGAAGCTCCTGATCACAAGTATTTGTCTTAAAATCCACATAGAGATGTACCCCCCCTTTTCCCAGAGCCGTCTTAGTATACAATCATTGCAATATACATTAATATACACTATCACTTCAGATCAGGAAATGCAAATGCCAAGTCTTATAAAATCTAAGGAGAAAGTGTCCATGAGAGAAAAAGCCCTTATGGAAGAAACATTCCCTTTTCCTCCTATATTAACGCCATAAGGGCTTCAGACACAGAGTTCTGGGCCTTCTAATTAAGAAAAAAAGCCAGAAATCTAGATCATTTTAAGAAAGTTTACAGTTTTAGAGAAAAAATAACTATTGATATTTTATTTTTATAGAATGTTTTACCAGGCCATGCTAACATTTTAAATACCCATTAAAAGTTTTCAGTCAGTGATCACTTTGATAAAATGATGGCTATTTACTACCTTGTCTCCCATGCTCTGTGTGATAACTAAACTCACCCACTATTTTTCTTTACTTGAGATATTGAAAATTTTATCCGTACAGGTTTCTGTTTATACATATCACAGTTTAATTTGACCTATTCTTTTATAATGTATTATATATATTATCTGCACTGTTATTTTATCATTAGCCTGCAACATTATCCTGTCATATTTTGTCTTTTTCAAATCTAATTGTGAAATAAAATCCCAGTGATTTAATAATAGATCTTTCTAGTGGTAATTAACAGTTTTGTCTCATAACAAACTCAACAGGAGTGTGATAATAAATGTGAAAGAATAATGTCATATTAACTGTATTGTAAGCCAATAAAAGGGCAGGCAGCTGTCAACCAATACACACACTAAACCTCTAAAGCTGTTAAATCAACTGACAGGAGAATAATACAATTATAAAGATACCCAAAACACATTTTTCAGCAATCATATAACAAGGCAGTAATTTAAGTGATCCAGAAAATTGTTCTATCATATTATTTTTTTGATTGATATCAAAATGGACACACAATATTTAGAAATTCTTACAAAACGTATACACTTCATGAAGTGGCAGCTGACACTGCTTGGAAAACACTGTGCTTTGTGATTGGTTATTCTCCTTACAAGTTACCTTGTTCTTTTGTGGACACTAAACACTACCTATAAAAAACAAACGAACAAACAAACAATTCTGTGACCGGGTGGCTGGAGTCAAGATGGAGGAGTATGCCTGAGAGCCTTGCTTTGGAGAACTGTGGATGCCTGCCATGGGATCTTCACACAGGCATCATAGGTGGGCAGCATCATCCAAGCCATCAAAGGTTTTCTCATTCTCCTGTGGGTGTGAATCACAGATGATGAGGGAGTTTGACGGCTGTTAAAAACCCCAGCTCCCCAGTTGGGAGGTAGCTTTGCCATTGGGGGTGGTCTGGTCTCCATGACTGACTGTAGGATGGTTCAAGTCAGAGGAAAAGAAGATTCCCTAGGACTCCATCACAGTAACCATCCTGACAGCCAGAAATGGACAGGCGGCCATGGTTAGGTCAGCAGCCATGGGAAGCGTTCTCCTAGCTTGAATCGAAGGAGCTGGCATCTTGACAAGGTTTGCCTCTGCAGTTTCCCAATGCCCTCAGTTTGCTGAAGACCCCTCCCACTTGCCTGCCAGCCAGTTACCTCCTCACTTTTTGGAGACGATCGACAATAGCAATTGATTTCGACCAGAGGAATAGATTTTCTTTCCCAGGATTTCTTTAACTGAAGTTCAAAAAAGATTTCAGATCAAGTTACACATGATCTGTTTTTACAACTATGGGTGAGTCAAAATAGGCCATGAAGAGACAGTTAGCACTTTTTTTCTATTTAAAGGAACATGGAAGGAAGATAAATAATGCTGCATTTATTTATACATGTGTGGATTGCATTGTCATCAGAATGAATGTCTACTATCACAAAAAAAAAAGTGCCTAGAAGATGAAGGACCAAAGGGCAAATACCAGTGATCATAAAATCTTTGGGGACTTCTCCACTTGGCTATCTGTGTACAGTTGATAAAACAATAAAAAGCTTTTGGAGTTTACTCTTTTTAAGATTAAGTTGTAGAAGTCTTCTTTTCATACTAAGTATACTACAGATAATGTATGCTTTCTACTAGCCCCTTTACGTGAATGATGTATGGGGAGAATTATGTAGGGTCAGCACAATCATTTCACAATAAAATGTTTTATAGATTGAAGGACATTGCAAAAAACATACCTACTTTGGACATAGCTGTGCTATGTTTAGGTTTCAAGCATGCTGGATACAAATTCTTAACCTTTAGGGCTACTGTATCTTGATCCTGCTCATCAGAAACCTCACCATAAGCAACTTGTTTTCAATATAATGAATTCTATATGAGAAGATTTTTTTGAAAGAAAATGTTCACTATTGATTATGCTTGAAGTAAAGTAGAGGCTGGGCATGGTAGTGCATGCCTGCAATCCTAATACTCAGGAGGCAAAAGTAGGATCTAACTTTGAAGCCAGCCTAGGTTGTCCTATTTCAAAAACTCAAAAAGAAATAAAATAAAAGTAGAAAGAAAAGAAAATGTACGTTATGTTTAATGTGTTTCAAGTTCTCTGAAGCTGACCTTCATAAGGAATATGTTGTCTACTTGGGTCTGGAAGTTGCAAATGGATTTAGTGGGCAGCTGTGTTCCTGGTTGTATTGGTGTGAGAAGTCAAGATGTTCGTGACTCAATGCCAGTCTCTAGCAATGCCTGCATGAAGTGGAAAACAAATCCATGTGGGTCCCTGTGAGCACTAACTTAATACTGACTGCAATCATTGGGATGTTTTAAACGTTAAGATATACATAACATTTGTAAGTACAGTGACATTTAAATATGAGTACAGTGTTTATCAGTATTATGTGTACTCAGAACACTGCTATCACCACTGAAATTAACTCTGTGCCCATGAGACAGAAACTTCCCATTCTCCTTGATAACTACAGTCCTCCTATTCTAGATATCTCATATAACTAAGTGGAACCCTAAAATTTAAAAAATAACAATTCTGGGGCTGGGAAGGTGGCTCAGTGGTAGAGCGCTTGCCTTGCATGCCTGAGGCCCTAGGTTCGATTCCTCAGCACCACATAAGAAAAAAGAAAAAAGCTGGAAGTGGCACTGTGGCTCAAGTGGTAGAGCGCTAGCCTTGAGCTGAAGAGCTGAGGGACAGCACCCAGGCCCAGAGTTCAGGCCCCACTACCAGACCAAAAAAACAAAAAAGAAAAAAGAATAATTCTATGGATGTGTCCTATCCAAATGAATAAACTTAGGTTGAAGACTTCAGAGTAAAACCTGCCAATAATTTTTCACTGTCTAGACATTTCTGAATATTCAGTAACATGGAAATAAAAATATGTCCTAAAATAACTGCCCATGCTGGTCTAAAATGTACAGTGTGTCTTTGTCATCTGTCACAAACCATATTTTTGACTTTACGGGATCTAGCTTCCAGTATTCAAAGCTTCCCATGCATTATGCCTGGCGTCAATGTAAGTCAACTGTTCTTGATAAATGTGACATCATGCAGTTGTTAGAAAAAGATGAGGAGTAGAGACAACCTTATAGTGGTAGGAAACCTGCTCTACTACCTGTGACAGGAGTGGAAATGCAGCATTTGTACTTATTCATATTTTCCTACAATAGGACAGATAAAAAGTTCTTATTCTAACTATCCAAAGTCTCCTATAAATAACATTGATTTAACAAACTTATACTCTAGTGAGTTTCTTTGCTGGCAGTAAGTTGTTTTTTAGTATTCATAACTTACCGTTGAGTGTGTCGCTTGTTTTTCTAAGCCAATGGAAAGCATTCTGTCAGTAATCTGAACTTGTCCATGGCAAAGCATGTATGCCTCTCTTAGAAATGATTCCTAGCCATCCAGTTTGGTTCCCAGAATTATAGGCATTCAACAAATAACTTTAAAATGAACTTTAACTGATTAGTTTTTATCTGCCCTCATTTGCCACAGATACATTCATTGTCCTCATATTAAATTAATGACAGTTAAATTCATGTTGTTTGATTGGCCATGAGTGGCAGCTCATTAAGTGTCAAAGACTGCATCACTGATAAGAAATCCTTTATTTAATAGTGTCCTTCAACGAAACTAGGAAGCTGATATGGACATTATCTTTGAATCCCATAGGATTCACAGAAGGTGAATCCTCAGCTTCTTCCACAACCTCAAGTCATGCTGTCACCATGAAGATGGTGTCATGACATGCTACAACTACAAAGAGAACAGTGTTGGCAAATGTGCTGATTAAATTCCTGTTGAACATGCTGTTTCAAAATGTGACCATTTGTGTGCCTCTGATGTACACGTGCATACTCCAATTGTTGATGGCTATGGAATTTAGCAAATCTGATATGTTAACATCTAATAGCTTCATATTAAGAAATAAAGTGATGTCATAATCATTATATGTCTTCTGAGGATGGACATGAACTCCCTCGTAAATATTTCAGAGCTTTAATTTCTGACTCACCTAACAATAATAATCATAACAATGCGACAGTGATCCTAACAATGGCTTTGAGTAAAAAGCTGAGAAGTAGAGGCGATGAATCTGACTCAGGAGGGCAGAGACCCTGCTATTCTGAACTCTGTAACAACAGAGGCCTCCTGTCTCCAGTGCTTTGTTAAAACTCTTGGAACAATTTTACACAGGGAAATTATCTAGGTCATCAGAAAGCAATTCATGTTTTCATCAATGTGAAATTTTATAAAACCTAATCAACTTTCGTGGGAAAGGCTATTTTTAGGATTTTCAATAGCATCAGGACCCTACTTGTGTGAGATGGTGTTACATACAGATCTTTTGCACTGGAGAAGTTGTATCTCAGAATTGTGATGACACCAGTACAGACAGGCATTGGTGCAAACAGATGGTGCACATACCACTGAATTGTCATGAAAGACTCCAATGCTCCAGGTAAACACAACAGGTCAACCTGTCAATGGAAACTGAGCATCTATGGGAATGGGAGAGTGCTGGACAAGAAATTATATTATGTGAATGTGTAGGTGAGATGCTGGTTGGACAAGTGCTATCTTGCTCATTTTATGTCCTAAGACACAAATAGTCATCATGGAAATTCTTCACACTGTTTTTATTCCAAACTGATTTCCCACAGTATAAATTTTAGTTCTATCCAGTAAGCAGATGTGAATATGTTCTGAGTGTTAGGTCCAATAAGGATAGAAAATTATATTGGACCCATGACATACACCTTTTACTTTTTTTTAAATAGCAGCATAAAGAAAAAATAACTGATTCTGACTATGTGGACCTGAGAAAATTTCTATAGAGATTATATTTGAACTATAAAATTTAACAATAGCTGAGTTGCAAAAAGTAAAACAGATATATACTGAACTCAGACTTTGGGATGCATGTATACAAGTGTGTAGTATACATGAAAGAAGGAGGAAGGGCACAAACCTAGCTTAATGGCACACTCCTAAGATCCTCACTACTCTAGAAGTGAAAGTAGGAGGGTTGCAGGTTCCAGACCAGCTTGGATAAAGTTAATGATACTTAGCCAGGCACCAGTGGCTCATGCTTATAATCCTAGCTACTCAGGAGGCTGAGATCTGAGGATCACGGTTCAAAGCCAGTCCAGAAAGAAAAGTCCATGAGACTCTCATCTCCAATTAACCACCCGAAAACTAGAAGTGGTGCTGTGGCTCAAATGGTAGAGAGCTTGCCTTGAGCTGAAGAACTTAGGGACAGCGCCCCGGCCCAGAGTTCAAACTCCATGAATGACAAAAAAAAAAAAGAGTTAATGATATTCTGTCTCAAACATACATACATGCATACATACATACATATGTACATACATACCAAAGAGCTGTGACTGTGGTTCAAATATTAGAGCCCTTTCCTCAAATGCAGGAGGCCCTGGGCTGGACTCTAGTACAGAAAAAATAAAGGGAGACACAATGTTTCAGTTAAATCATGAAGCAAAGAACAGAAATATTTGAATTTGGTTCAATATTAGTGGTAGAGACACACAATTCAGCCTAGTCTCTTACATAGCTTTCATTTTTTTTGTCTGAAGTGTATCTTTTCATTATGGTCTGGATGACTAAAACAGAATGCCTAAGTCTGGGTGATTTATGATGAACCAAAATGGATCGTTCCACGGTTCTGAAAGATAAGGAGCTCAAACTTAAGGTGCCACAATTTAGGGACTGGTCTCCTTGTTTCCAAGGTGGCTTCTTGAATGCTTTGACATACTAAAAGCAGGAGTGTGTGTCCTCACATGGCAAAAGTAGCAGAGAGAAAGCCACTGCCACAGTTCTCCTATCTTCCCCCCACATACATACTTCTCTGTTTTGCTCTGGGCAAGCAGCTACACACATGCAGGATCTTGCTCTGAGCCCATTTATAACTGCGGGCACTGCTTTGTCTCAGGACCTTCTTTAGGTGTGAGTTTGGGGACACTTGGCTGCTGAATTCCAATGAAGGATCAAACCCTTTTCCTGTCACAGCAACGCAAACAACTGTTGAAGAAGTTGGGTTTTGTTCATGTGATCTGTTGGTTGCATCTTTACCGCTGAAATTCCTGGGAGCCAATCACACTCTGGCACATAATAAAGACAAAAGCAATTTCTTTAATAGTTTCCAGATTGTGACAACTGTGCCCTTCACTGCACAGCAAAGTGACAGACATGAATGTTCTAAATGGCAAGTCATCTACCAAATAATGAAGGAAATTTTCCATTCCAAGATTTTACAAAAATAGTCTCCTGTATAAGCAAGAGGCTGTAAAGTATGTCTTGTGTTAAGGGGCCTGCAGAGGGAGTCTAGCTCCTTAACTACGGGTCTCCAAGTTACATGCTGAGGGAAATGCTCTCCACGTTCTTTGCTGGCACCAACCAACTTACACTTCCATTGGGCCCCTGTTTCTGGAGTATACGCTTTAATCTTCTAGTTTTCTTCATTAGGACAGCAATATCAGGCCCTAAAACCTACTTTACAAAGCTACAAAAGTATGTACCATTTAGCAGGGTATGATAAATTGCAGGAAATACAACAATAATCCATGTACATAAGACTGATTTAAAAAATCCTAACCAGATTCAGCTAAAGAA